GGGATGACAAGCCGGTGCCACCGCTCCCTCCAATCGCCAGGCAACCAGAAGGCAGGCAGCGGGTCATACATGGAAGAGTCTACCCCCCAGTGCATGAGGACTGCTACAATCATGGCTGAAATATGAACGGCTCTCCTCCCCCAGTTCATGAAGGCGGTGACTGAGGAGTGTCCTGACATTACGCGCATGTACAGTATCGGCAAGAGCTATACAGGCCTCAAGCTGTACGTCTTGGAGATCTCAGACAATCCTGGCCAGCATGAGTTAGGTGAGTGCTAAATGCGTGCTGGTTAGTTACTAGAAGATTTCAGGCTCAAATGCTGTTCTTCTGCAAAACATATTAGAGGAAAATTCAAATTATTATGGTCATAAAAGTTCTATAACAGGGTCTCATAAGCATTCTGTTCTGCTGTGTACTGCGTGTGAGTTGTCCTTGTCAAAAGCAAGCACATATACAAAATAGATGTTGGAGATGAAGGGGGTAACAGCGGAAAGTCTTCCAGTGTCTGGCTTGGCCAATGGAATGGGTCATGTGTGATTTTAGATCATACCATTGGAAAGAAATGGGCTCCAATCCAGGAGCTTATCAAGTTGCAGAAGGTCTGAATAACAAAATTCCAAGAAGGGCCTCATTGAAAGTTGCAGCCTTGGTATTGTCTGCTGAAGTTTAGTTTGGCAGTTATCATACTTCGGCGTGAACATCCCCTTAGATTCATGTGGTTTCTGATGCTTTTTATCATCCTAAAAATGGAACTAGCAGATAATGCATTTATAGTGACATCTTGGTGATTAGGATTCTTATTATTTTATCCTTATTATTATTATTTTTTCATCATAGAGGTCCTTTGGAATGTGTTAGCTACTGGGTGCCTAAATTTCACTTGGCATCAATAAAGTGTCTGTCTGTCTGTCTGTCTGTCTGTCTATCTATCTATCTATCTCTATCTATCTATCGTGGAAGTAAAATTGGACATTAGTAGGCCAGGGAGGGGAGGCATATTGGGTCTGTTATGTTTTAGGCCTTAGGCAAGAAGAGATTGTTTTGAATACTGTGTGACCTCGCTTTGTGATAGCTGCCTGCAGTTAGTTCTGCAGACCATGAAGAAAGCTCGGATCTTGGACAGGCAGACAGCAAAGCAAAGGGGTGGAGAAACCACCTACAGGAAGAGATTCAAAGCTGCCCCAACTGGTGCACAAAGAGTTATACCTTTATAAAATAGTTGCAGTAGACAACACATAATATTTTACGCGGTAGTGCAAATGTATAGGTAGTTGTTACATTTGAACTGAACAGACGTACGCTGTTGGATGATTGCTGGGATTGCTGCGAGGATTGCTGCGAGAGAGTGGTGTTGAGCTGCAGCGATTGTTTGGGATTGTTTTTTGGAGTGTTTTGAGTGTTTGTGTGCTT